CTGCATAGTGCCTTCCCAAAAAAGATGCGTCCCATTGTCTAATCCAGCTGTGGTTTAGCCCTGAGAAGGAAACTGCAATTTTAAATAATAGGCAACTGTGCCTGGAGCACGCATGATGGTCTCTCCTCCCCCTCCTGCAGCTTCACCATCCTCAGCTTTCCCCCCCGATACGTGACTTGCACGGATTTAGAAAGCAAAATATCCGTCCTCGAGGCACATTCTGAGCCACATGACAGACACCATCATTATTAAATGGGAGAGCATCCTTGGATATCTGTTTATCAAGTTCGCAAATCCTTCCCAAGGGTGCTCGCCAAAAATAGCCTACAATTCACTGTGCAAAATGCCCGATCCCAGACTATGTTCCAAAAAAGCTTGCAAGCCTCGATTTGCAAAAATAGAAGAGGCACAACACAATTACATTTTGATAGGGTTAACGGGATCCAGCCTCCTACTACAAACATACACACACACGCACCCGCTCCACTCTCCTCCATCCCACAGGAAGATCCTCAGCCTCCTGACGAAAACCATTATGCAGCCGCAAACCAGAGCCCGAAGTATTTCAAACTGGGTATGAAACACAAGCCCTGGACCCCAGGCAGGGGTTTTGGCCACGCTGGTCCTTCCTGCAGCACGAGGGGCAAGCGCTGGCACGCGCCAACCCAGGCGAAAGGCTTTTAAAACGCACTTTAGCTACTATTTGTTTTAAATCTAAGGAATGGTCCACCTGTCATATGCGGCTTTATTGATTTACTCTGTACTCTGAGGAAAAAAAAACAAAACACAAAACAAAGAAACCCCTGTACCTAGCTGACAAGGAGGAAAAAAATAAAATAAATGCAATTGAGATGGTATTTCTAGGACAGAATTACCGCCCTGGCTCCCCATCCTCCTGTCCCCAATCATCTTTTACAGAAGAAGTATTGGCAGGCTCCTCGTTATAACTGAGTAACGGCCCATCAGCTCTCTCCCTGGATTATATATTAACTCCCAGTTCTCCTGCAACATCTGCCCTCCTCTCCCTCCCCCTTCAACTCCGACCAGCTCTCCCAGAGGAGACCCCGAGGCTGCCCCAGAGGCCGCGGCACCCATCGGGGTCCTGGGCAGAGCTCCGCTCCCACCACCACGGGACGACAGAGCCGCTTTCTTTAAGCGGACAGATGCTTCCGAGCAAAATGAAGCCTCGAGGTAGAGGAGATGAAGCTGATTATGCCTCATTATCCTATTTAGCGTAATGATCGCAGAGCCAGGAGGACGTCACGCAGCCGGGGAGCGGAAAGAGTACGATGGTTAATAGAAGCGCGTACGCACGTGGGCAGGCAGGTACGGCCGAGCTGACACGCAGCCCGCGAGGGGTTTATTATCGCTTGCTTTCTCCTCTTCCCTTGCCCGTGCCACCTTCCCAATCCCACCGGCATCCCGCCTGCGAATTCCCGCTTGCTTGGAGGAGCATTTAAGGGCAGTGATCTAGAAAAGACAGGAGCAAGGGAGTTCCTGGAAGCCACAGCTTCAACATGGGTGCTCCACTGCGCCTGGGCCCAGCATCCCACCCGAAGCCCGCCCACGCGGGCACGGGAACACCCGCGGGAACTCCAACAGCCTGCAGCACCTGCCAGGAGAGGCCTCAGGGGATGCAGCAGCTCGAAGCCAAAGGCAACACACACGCATGTGAAAATCCAGGAGCAAAAGCAGCCAGGGACTGCCTGAAAACCAGAGTCCGGGCTGGATGTGTCCTCTGGGCTCTCGCGGGATTCCCCCGGGAAGAGGGAGGCCAGCGCAAGAAACCCATCACGGACACCCAGTAAAACATCACACTGAACAAAACCCAGGCAAGTCAGCAGAGCTGCAAGACAGATTTGAAGGATGAGAACAACAATACTTAATTCCAGCATTCTTCTGGGTAACAGTAGACCCAAAACAGTGACTCGGCTACCAGGGACCTACTGTGCTGAGCAGTATTTTTAAGTAAACTCTCCCTCAAAGGCTTCAGGTCTTGGCACCGAAGACCCTCAGCCCCAACCCTTTTTAGTAAAGGCAATAGTCTCATACATCCCCCCCATCACCCACCCTTTTCCATCCAGTTGCCTCCTCGAACAACGCTGAGGAAGGAAGGAGAGGAACCTGTTGCGGCATCACGGGGGCCGGGAAGGGAAGAGACGGGCAGGCCGTTCGGTAGCGGTTCAAGATATTCCTGAAACTATAGCAGTGTCCTGCGCCGCAGAACCAGCTCAGCTGCCGCCTCCCCAGCCGCCCAACCCAGCGCAGCTGGTAAAGACACGCTTTGGCTGAACACAACACGCGAGGAGATGGTTGCCAAAATAAGGGAGAGACTCTTTTTTAAAAACTTCCGAGGTCTGTTTCTGCAACGATCTCGCTCTCCAAGCACACCTGAAAGCCCCGTTGTGGTTTGCTGTCCTCCACCAGCTGAGCTGAGCGCTCTCAGGCCGGCATCTCCTCCTCCATAAACTCTGCTAAAGGACGAATAAACACGTTAAAGGCTTCACACAGGGAAACAGCGAAAGATAAAGATGTAGTAGATTAGATCTGTCTTTTGTAAGGAATTTAATGACTACAGCTGTTCAGCATCATTAACCAGTTTGTCTTGGAGGTTTAACCCTCCCGCCGGCCCCAGCGCTGCCGTTGAGCAAACACTCGGGTACCACGGGAGCTGCCCGGCTCCCAGTGGGGCTGCAGCAGGAGCGAAGCCTTGCTCCCTCCCCGGGGAGCAGGGCTGGGGTGATGAGGAGTCATTAAAAGCTTTTACTACCTGTTGCTATCCAGCAAACTAATTACGGAGGAGTGCCAGGCAGAGAGCGCGCTCTCCGTGCAAAGAGCAGCCTGCTAAAAACGGATCCCTCACCCTGCCCACCCGGGGACAGCATGCCCCACAGTCTCACCAGCATCCCGTCCCTGCCTGCCTAAGTGGGGCGGAAAAAACAACCCTGAGATTTTAACTGATTTAGAAAGAAGCAAGACTTGTTGGAAGTGAAGTGCAATAGCTTAACCCTTGTCTGAGCAGCACTGGCCCCTAAGAGAGAAGTCTGGGCTCCTTCTGGGTGAAAGGAGATGCATCTGGAGCAAATTCCCCTGCCAGCACAGCCCCAAGGACGGCTCAAGACTGACCAGGCACTTGCTGACTTTTCATCTCCACACATTCCACTTTAACCTCTACCCGTGCTGCTCCACAGCATCCCTCGTAACGTCACCAAGTCTCTGGGTACCCTCACAAAGCATCCCAAAATTCCCATCCCCTGCCCACTGCAGAGTGTCTGACCAGCCCCAGGAGCCATCACTGCTGCCTCTGGGCAGGGAGCGCAGCAGACCCCCCACCGCCAGCTCTCCTGACCCTGCCCGAGTCACCCGGGGAGGGACAAGCGGCGTTTGCGTTCACGCAGAATCTAACAAGGTGGGTCCTGGCCGCTGTCCGGCTGGAGAAGGCGGACACCCGT